AAAAAAAAAAAGATGAGATCCAATGACTGGTGTCTTTATAAGAATATGGAAATCTGGACACAGTGATACACAGAGGGAAGACAGCCATGTGACCATGGAGACAGATATGGGAGTGATGGGGCCACAAACCAAGGAATACCCAGGAAGCTGGCAACCACTAGAAGCTGGAAAAGACGTGGAAGGATCCTCCCCTAGAGCCTTCTTCAGGGGAGCACCGTCCTGCCAACACCTTGATCTCAGGGTTTTGGCCTCCAGAGCTGTTAAGAGAGTACTTTCTGTCTTTTAAGGCACGTAGTTTGTGGTAATTGTTATGGAAGCCCCAGGAAATGAATACAGTCACCTTGGCCAGTGTTTGGGGGGAAATGTCTCCCAAGAGGATGAGAGTCTCATGGGAAAGGGGCCTGGAGTTCGCTGCAGGACGTCTCTTGTTTTTTGGTTGGAAAGGCTGAATTCCCAGCTTTCCCCACCTGCTCTGACACCTGCTGGGGCAACCTGACCTTCCCTGGTCCTCCTATGCTTCTCTTGCTGTGTGACTTTGGGCAAGTGACTTAACTTCTCTGAGCCCCCAATTCCTGTCATGGATTTAGCAAGAAATAGACCCCCGGGAGGCAGCTCTTATATCTCAGTAGATTTAGGCTTTAGGACTCTTCACCATTTGGAGTTGCCTCACCTGTTGGTTTGCCTGCTTGTGTCTGTCTAAACCAGTGTTGTCCAGCGGAATTTATTTTATTTTTTATTTTACTTATTTATCTAGTTTTGGCCGTGCCATACAGCATGGGGGATCTTAGTTGCCCGACCAGGGATTGAACCCGCGCCCCCTGCAGTGCAAGCACGGAATCCTAACCACTGGACGGCCAGGGAATTTGCTAAACAATGCAAATGTATTCCCTTACAGTTCTTGAGGGCAGAGGTCTGAACTGGGCCTTACTGGTCTGCAATCAAGGTGTTGGCAGGGCTGCGTTCCTCTCTGGAGACTTGGGTGCGGAATGGGAGGGAGGAGAATGTGTTTTCTTGCCTTTTTCAGCTTCTAGAGTCTCATGGCCCCGTATCACTCTGACGTCTGCTTCCATTACTGGATCTTCCCCAACTCTGACCCTCCTGCCTCCCTCTTATGAGGACTCTTGTGGTTACACTGGGCGGCCCCTCCAATAATCCAGGATAATCTCCCTTTTCTGAGATCCCTAACTGAATCACATCTGCAAAGTCCCTTTGTCATGTAAGGTCACATATTCACAGGTTCCGGGGATTAGGACACGGACATCTTTGGGGACCATTATTCTGCCCCCCAAACCCCACGTGGCTAGTGGCTACCATACTGGACAACGCAGGTCTGGACCTTCCATTCCTAGAGGATCTGACACTGATGTGTCCCCTGAGCCAGGCACACAGCAGGTGCCCAATTAACGTGTTCAATTAATGAAATTTGAATACCGCCTCTATAACATGTTTGTTGAAGGAGGTGCTGGCTTTAAACTCTTAAGTCCAAGCTAAACTTTGCAAAATGGAGACCTGCATTCTGGTGCCTCTAACAGAGCCTAGGCTACTCCTCGGAAATGCTTCTTTTCCCACCTCTACTGTGTGACCTTAAGCAAACCTCTGTACATCTCAGCATTGACTTCCTCATCTGTACAGTCCTGAGAAACAGCTACCAAAAGCCTCATAAGAGAAAAGAAAACCGAGGCACAGAGAAGCTAAGGGGCTGGCCCAAGGGCAAGGTCATGAGGAAGGGGAGGAATCTGTTCCAAAGTCCGGAATGCACTTCAGAAAGAGGGTGTAAGAAACCAGTAGAAAGGCTTTCTGCGCCATCTGGGGAAGAAAAGATAGCCTGGACCAGGGGTACAGTCAGTGGCTGACTTCTTAAATGCTGTGCTATCTGCCTGGAGAGTTCTAAACTTTTTCTGACTGTTGAACTCCTACTCACCTGTCAAGACCCAGTTCAAATGTCCCTTTTTAAAGGAAACTGTCCTTGACTCCCTGAACCCACCTCTAATCTAACAAAAAGAGCCCAAGATCCCTGGACCTCCCACAGAAGCTGTGCTGCCCATCACAGTCCAGATATTTTAAATCACCTGCCTAAAACCACATGGGCCAGCAAGTGACAGATCTGGAACGTAAACCCAGGTGATCTGGCTCCAATGTCTATGCTGTCATGAGGCTATACGTACACATTCAGCACACACACACACATCCCTAACTGCACACATGTAAACACATGTACACACATCCATATATACAAACATGCACATGCTCACACATTCCACACACACGTATACACATCACATCTATAAATACATGCATGTACACACAACACACGAACACACACAGTCCTATTCTTTTGCACATGTGTGACCATTGAATGCATGTGCGTACAGATGTGCACACACCCCATAGACATGCAGATAGACCAGACGCGCTCGCCCCTCGCACAAGCTTGTTCCCCGGCACACACGCATACAACATGCTAGACCATGCACCAGCCCGTAGGCGTGTACACACAAGCGTGCAGGAAGCCCACCTGCCCACACACCCCTACATAGGGGCCTACACCTAAAAATAAAATCTAACGCTTACCACTGGGACAGCATGGGTAGGCACACACGAATACATGTGTATGTATCCTCACACATCTAGCTAAAAATTCACATGTACCATGAACTCAATCACAGACAGAAAAATATCTAACTCAAATATGTGAACTGGAATATTCAAAATTCCACCTTCCTCCCGTGCACCCCCAGACATACAGATGCATACTCGGGAACTCGCCCAGGCTCCTGTTCTCTGTCCCCAGGCCCCGCCCTGCCCACCCTCGCCAGGGTAGGAGGTAGCGGGCAGCACGGTGTGTGTGCTGGGAAGAGGGACGGGTCCAGCCCCAGCCCTGTCCTCAGAGCCCACCTGGCCTGGTCCTTGTCTCCCTGATCACACTCCTTCTGACCCCTGCACCACCCGACCCATGCTGGATCCTGGGGCCAGAGGCAGGCCCAACACACTCCAGGGGCCCCAGATGAGGCCCAGAAATCTGGGAGGGCACAGGCACCCCTCCACCCACCCTCGAGCCCGCGCCCGCTGGCCCCGCTGAGCAGAGAGGAAGAGGAAGCACAGCATGGGCCGGTGGGGAACGGGGCGGGGGGGGGGGGGGGGCGCCGGCACAGACAGCCTTCTGCGCGGCCAGATGGCCGGCCATCTGCAGTCCCCTCCTTCTCTGCCGTGGTCGGGCCTGGTGCCGGGGCGAGCGGCCTCGGAGCTGGCCAAGCACGGTGGAGACGTGTGCTGCCTGCCACGCCCGGCTGCTGTGGCCCAACCTCTCCCCCCATAGTGCAGGCACCTCTGTTCTGGAAGATTCTGGGGCTTCGGAATCCAACCCCTTCATCCAATCATTCATTCATTCCCCAAACACCAAGTGCTTACTAAGTGCTGGTCCTAGAGATACAATGACAAATAAAACAAATATTTGTTGAGTACCTATTCCTCTTGCTCTCTGCTCAGCTGGACAAGTTGGGGTCTCCAGAGTGGAGCGAGGGGTGCCTGTGCCTTCCCAGACTTCTGGGTCTCATCTGGGCCCGCTGGGTCTGCCTCTGGTCCCGGGATCCAGGCACTTTTCTAGGAATCAACAAATTTGACGACAAATATATATTAGACATCTACTCTGCGTCGGTCACTAGGCTGATGACAACAGCGAGCAAACAAATGTGTATTGAGCACCTACTATGTGCTGGGAGCTCTTCTAGGCACAGGGAATACAGCAGTGAACAAACTAATTATTTGTTGAACACCTACTACATGCCAGGCACTGGGGAGACAGTGGTGACCAAGAAGGACAAGGTCTCTGCCCTGACCAAGTTTGCAGTCTCCGGGGCAGAGGGGACGGATGAGCTATAGTGAATACATGAAAAATAAGGGGTGAGGGAAGGACAGTGGTATTCTTATCCATTTGATCATTTTAGATGGGCAGTCAGGGATGCCTCCTCTGAGGAGGTGACATGGAGCAGAGCCCTGGGTGGAGCAAGGAATCAGCCCTCAGGCTCCCTGGGGAAGAATGTTCTGGGCTGAGGGAACAGCCAGCAGAAAGTCCTGCAGTGGGAACGGGCTTCATGTGCCCGAGACAGCTGTGGGGAACCAGGGCCCCTGGGCCAGAGCAGGTGAGCCCAGGGAGGGGTAGGGGTGGGAGGTGCGGGGTGGGTGGGGCCCTGGTAGGGAGTCTGGTGAAAGTGAGGCCTGGGAAGAGACCCCAGGGGTTTCGGGGGGTGGGGGAGCAGTGGGCACGTGAGGTGGCAGTGATATCCCGACATCCCAACATCCTGTGCACAAGTTCTCCCTGGGGCCGACCTCCATGAGGGCTGTATCTGCATTGGTCCCGGTAAGTCTGGGAAATAAGCACCAGGATGATTCCCATTGCACAGACCGGAAGGTGGAGGCACATGAGAACGCTGCGGTCCGGGGCCTGCATCTCACTGGATGCTCCTGATGCTTCCAGAGCAAGCAAAGGAGATGCCCCGAGCCCACGTGGGCCCTACCCATCACCCCTCCCAGTCAGTGCTGCCCCAGCCGTGGGCTCTGACGGCAATGTCCCCAGCCGACCCCTCTGCTGGCGCCTGAAGCTGTCAGCCCTGATTCCCCGTGGGCTTAGTCACCCCATACAAGTGACATTTATTTATTCCCTCGCACGGAGTGTGGCGAGAATTAATTATTCAGCGCCAAGGAAGCACTTTGAACATAAAAAGTACTGAGGATGACCGTGACATTACAGAGAATAATGTTCCCTCCTCATGCCCGCCTGCAGGTCTGGGTGCCTGAGCTGTCGCCTTCCATGGTCCCCTGACCACCCGCCCCCCCTCCGCCCATGACGGGGGCGGAAACCCCCTGCGTGGGGAAAAATTATCTGAGCTAAGAATTTCTTTTCTATGCAAGCAGGAAGGAAGAGAGGGAAGGAAGAAGGAAAGGAGGGGAGGAGGGGAGAGGGGAGAGGGAGAGAGGGAAGGAGGGGGAGGAAGAAGGAGAAAAAGAGAAGGAAAGGAGGGAGGGGAGTTTCACACTTCATATTTTTTAGCTGCTCTGTGAGTTACGAAGGTGGTACAGAAGTGAGTCGCAATGATACAGTTACAGTTTATAAGGCACTTGCTCTGTGTTATTTTCATGAGGTCTGCAAAACAGGGTGGTTTCTCAGAGCAGAGAAAGGGTTGCAGCCCCATTTTACAGATGAGGAAACTGAGGCTCTGGAAGGAGCAGCAAATACCCACCTCCCACAGCTTGGCCACAGTGGCCAGGAGCAAAACCTGTGAAAAGGAGTGTCGGGGGCTGACCCCAGGGGCTGTCCGCCGAGAGTTCTCACCTCTGTCAGGACTAGCCCCAGCTCCCTGGGCACTGGTATCCCCTGGGCACACGACACCAGCCCTTGAACTTGAGCTTCTGCCCTGCTGCCACCCTGAGGATTCATGCATCCCGCCTCCCCCAGCTGGATGCCAGAGGGAAGGAGGCGAGAGGGGAGATCTTGCCGGGGAGGGGAGTGAGGTGGTGGGGATACAGAACAGCTTGCCAGGGAGCTTGAAGTTTGATTTGATTTAATATTTACCCCAAAGAAACCCCATCAGGCAGAAGAGACAGCTGGAGACCAGCAGAGCTGAGTTTGCTGTAATTGCCAAGTGAGATGGTCTTTGTTCCTACCTTCAGAGGGAAAAAAAGGTTGCAGGCCACACTTGACTCCCCCCTCTAGGCCAGAGCTGAGCAATCCTAGTGGAGGTGGAGAACGGGATCTCTGGGCCACCTGCACGCTTCTTTCTGGGGTCCCAGCTGTGCCGTGATTCATCTCCACGCACCGCAGTGGCCAGAACCATGCCTGCATTCAGTAGGGGCCCAGTAAATGCCTGCTCGTGTGTCCCGGGTGTCATCTGAGGGCCCCTGTTCAGTGAAATAGAGAAGGACTGGGGGAAGCAGAGGCCTTGCTGGGACAGGTGACTTAGGCTCTCTGTGCCTCAGTTTTCCTATCTGTAAAACAGGGGCAAAAATGCTAGAACACCACAGACTAATGAGGATTCGAGGACCTGTTCCCAAAGTGCTGACCTCCCTGGCCATCCAGTGGTTGAGACTCCGAGGAAGACGCCACACTTCCACTGCAGGGGACACGGGTTCGATCCCTGGTCAGGGAACTAAGATCCCACATGCCCTGCTGGTGCAGTCAAAAAATTAAAAATAAAAATAAAGGTAAAAAAATAAAAAGACAGCACCTGGTACGCAGCAAGTGTTCTTTAAGGCGGAGCTACTGGGAGGGACCGATCCAAGCAAAGCCCCTGGCAGACAGGCGGTCTTCACAGCTAGATTCAAATCCTCTCACCCGTTCCAACCTCCTGGACAGACAAATGGCATAGGAAAGGGGGCGGGGTTCCCTGGTGGGAAGGAGGGTGCTGGCCTCAGGACCCCCTCACCTTCCCACCCGCCCACTCACAAACCCCGCTCAGATTGCAGGATGCTCTTCATGTTAATCAGGCCTCAGGGGTGGCCCTGACGTTTCCCTGTGTGGCCGCCCCCATGGGTCATCACTGAGTGATGTGTGTTTTGAGCCAGAAGACACTCCGGCTGTAAGTCAGGGGGCTGTGCATGGGCATGGAGGCCCCGCAGCCACCTGGCTGCCTTCAGCCAGGGAGGTGGGTGGAGACCCCACAGGCTCCTTGGACAGCTGGGAACCTGCTGGAGGCTGCTGCCATGGCAACAGTGCTGGTTGCCCTCACTCCGCGTGGGCCCCATCCTGCCTCTCCTGGGCACTGACTGAGTGGGCTGGGGCTCAGCTGGTTACCCCTCCCTCCTCCTCCCCCAGGGGTCACTCAGGGGTCCTGAGAGCTCCCTGCCCACTTGCTACCCCAGCAGAGCAAAGCCAGCTCTAAGACATCCCTCTCTTAATAATAACTAATACCAGCTGACATGTATTGTGTACTCAGCTCTTTACAAGTATTAATGACTTAATTATCATGATAACCCATTTAATAGATAAAAAGACTATAGTCCAAAAGGGCAAAATTGCTTGCCCAGGGTCACATGACTAGTAAAGAGCCAAGCCAGGACTTGAACCCAGGATGCTGGCCCCAGAGTGCCATTGCATAGTATAATGCAATGGTTAAGATACAGACTCTGGAGTGAGACAAGCTGTGTGAGCCTGGACAAGTTACTGAACCTCTCTGGGCCTCAGTTTCCCCTTCTGCAAAGTGGGATAATAGTACCTGCTTCAGAGACTCCTGGGAAGGATGAGATGAGTTACTACATGCAAAGCACTTAGAGCAGCAACGAGCACAGAGTAGCGCCTGGGGCTTACCCAGTTTTCCCGCAGAAACAAATGAGGATTTGCAGCCAGGTCCTCCTGGGGAGGCCAGCAGCGGGAAGAGGACAGAGAAGGAGGGGACGCCAAGCTGAGGTGTCACTTGCGGCACCGTCCCAGCCCTCGCCTGATCCGCGGGGGACTCTGGAGCGTGAGTTACACCTCGAAGTTTGTCCTGCCTCCAGAGCAGGGGGCCGGACCCCCACACTGTCAATGGTCGCCTAAGGGCTGTCCCAGCGGGATGACAACTCCCAGGCCGGCCAGGCTTTCTGGACACGGGGCCAAAGCTGTGTGCAGAAGCGAGGCAAGGGTACGGGCAGTCAGCAGCAAAGCACACGGAATTGCAGAATCACAGAATTGCAGAATCAGAGGAGAGATCCAGGACTTGTGGGTGGAGCCCTGCCTGCTGTCCTAGCCGTTGTTATTTACCTTCCTAGGACGCCACAGCAAACCTGTCTGACCGGTAGAGTTGCCCTCGTTTTACCAGAAGGCCACTTGGTTTGGTCAGAGTCACACAGATTTGGGGCGGGGAGCCAAACCTCTAGACTTTCAATTCTGCGCAATTCTCACTGCACCCTGAGACCTGGTCATGGGTCACCTTCTGCAGCACCTAGAAAAGATGATGCTTAATTGGGCAGGAGGCAAGTTAGCAGCTCAAAGGCCTGGGGCACCTGGAGGAGGTTGTATCAGTCAGAATGTCTTAGGCAGCAAATTAAAAATTCCGAATTCAAACAGCTTTAATAATGAAAAAGATTTCTATTTTCCATGATAAGAAATCCTGAGGTGAAGGAGCTCCCGGGCTGGTTGATTCAGCAGCTCAGGGGTGGCATCAGAACCAGGCTCTTTCCCTCTCTTCTCTTTTCTGCTGCCCTCAATATAGATCATGCTCTTCAAGGTCCCCAAATGGCTGCCCAGATCCAGTCATCACATCCCACCGGGACAAAGTACAGCCCAAGATGAGCCAGTTAGTAGCAACAGAGACGTTCTGGCCCACAAAGCCTGAAAGGATTATTATTTGACTCTTTACAGAAAATCGGTTTGCTGACCCCTGACTCAGCTAATTGGGATTCACCCCATGCTGGACTGAGTCACTGTCTCCGAGGGATGAATACTGAACAACACGATGCTCTCCGAGTGAGGTAGGCTGGTGTCTGGACTGGCGGCTAAGTCATCTTCTAGGTCTTTGCTGCTCAAAGCGTTGTCCACGGACAAGTGGCAAGAGCCTCACGCGGAACAGAGCCCGGGCTACCCCCCTTCCCAGACCAAGCACACCAGGACCTACATTCGACCGAGTCCCCATGGGGTCTGTGTGCGTGGGCAAAGCCCTAGCCCTGCAGAGGGCTGAAGGTACATGTGGGGACAGATGGGCAGCTGCCCTGGATTGACACTGAGGCGGCCTGGGTTCAAGTCCTGACTGTGACCTTGACCAGCTGTGTGGCTGCAGGCAGCTCTAGCCACCCCTCAGGGTCTTAGCACCCTCACCTGCTGAACACCACGTGTTAGCATCCTGGGACTGCCATAACAAGGTTCCCCAGACTCTTGGCTTAGGACAAAAGTTCTGGAGGTCAGAAGTCCCACGTCAAGGTATGGGCAAGGCTGGGCTCGCTCCAGGGTCTCCAAGGGAGGATCCTCCCTGGCTTCTTCCAGCTTCCCATGGCCCCAGGCGTTCCTCAGCTGTGGCTGCATCCCTCCCATCTCCACCTCCATCCTCACGTGACTTTTTCCCTCTGTATCTTTCCTCTTCTTCTAAGGACGCCAGTCGTATTAGATTAGGGCCCTGAATGACCCCATCTTAACTGGATTACATTTGCAAAAACCTTATTTCCAAGTCAGATCACATTCACAGGTTCCGGGGACTAGGACTTCAACACATCTTTATGGGGGACACGATTCAACCCATAACATGTGGTGGCACCACCCACACATGACACACAGGTGAAAAGGGGACACACATGTTTGTGTCTGGGGGGAGGACAGGGCTGATGGAGGAACAGCTGGCCAGCTCTGCTGGAAGCTTCCTGAAGGTAGCTGGCCCAAGGTGACCTCAAGGAGAGCATCTCTACCCCCTCAACTGCCGCCCTCAAGGGCCTGAGCTGCTCCAGGGACCTCCTGGGTCTGTAGAAACCAGGTCCAAGAGTCCTCAGCAATTCCTGGATGACAGTGAGGCAAGCAAGGCATCCAGGTGCAAGTTTCAAGGAAGCGCTCATTCATTCTCAGGTGCCGCCTCTGTGGAGAGGGCGCGCCTCCCTCCGCTCTGTGCCCTGAGTGCCTTGCTCACCTCACTCTTGACCATTGCTGGTCCTCAGCTCTGCCTGTCATCCCAAACATCTCCTCTGGGCCTCTGTTCCCAATTGTGGAAGGGGAGCAGGTAGGCTCTGCCCCAACATTTACTGTGTGAACAGAAAAAGTCCGTTTGACTTAGATAAACTGAAAACATCCAGAAGTGTACCCTGAGCACCGAACTGGTGTTGAAAAACCAGGTATATTGAGTGAACGAGGAAGTAAATTCCCAAATCCAAATTCCTCACCGTGACCCACAAGGCCCAGCATGATCTGGTCCCGCTCACCTTACTGGCCTCATTCCCACCATTTCCCCCCCCAAACCATTAGGCTCCAACTACACTGACCTCCACGTTCTTTCCAAAACATGCCAAGCCCACTCCAACCTCAGGACCTTTGCACACACTGTGCCCTCGGCCGGCATGCTTTTCCCCGGATACCCAGGTCTGGCTCCCTTATTTTATTCAGATTTCTGTGCAAATGTCACCTCCTCAGAGAGGCCTTCCCTGCCACTTGATCAAAAGTAGACACGCTCACTCCACCCCTACCTCCACCCCACCAATACCCAGTCACATTCTGTCCCATCAAACTACTTTAGTGTCTTGATAGAACTCACAACTGGAGTGTGGAATTCTCACAGGCATTTATTTATCCATTGGCCATGTCCTCGGTGCCTAGAACAGTGGCTAGCACATAGTAGGTGCTCAGGAAAAATTTGCTACTTGACTGAATGAACCCCTTTCCCACTGGAACCCAGCCAACCTCTTAGGGAACACTCAGGCATCCCCAGGCCCCTGCATTCAAGGCCTGGCAAGCCTCACCCTGCAGTGGAATTTTCCAGATGAAGCTGTTGCTTTGTGCTTCAACCAGGCGTTTAATCTCAGCTCATCGCTGGGCAGGAAGGAGCCTGCTTTGCTAAAGGACTTCTGTCCTAAAGCTGCCAGGTAACATGAGAGGGGCCTCTCAAGAGGAAAGCACAGCTCCCCACCCCACCCCTGATAAGCGTCCAGCGGCCCCGTCACCTTCTCCAGGCAGCATGCCTCCACCCACAGCCCTGGCCACAGGCTGAGCCCACCCTGTGCTCACTCCCCAGCCGGCACCCCCCAAACTGCACAATGGCCCTTCAGCGGGCCAGGAGATTTTAAAAACTCTCTTTAAAAATAGCATTACTAATTTTCTTTTTTTTTTTTCTTGTTAAAAATTTACACATGTAATCCACATGTGCTGACAGTGAAAAATGCCAGCATTTCTAGTGGGAAGTAGATCATCATCCCCCAGATTCCAACCCCCAGCATAGAGATGAAAACCACAGTCAAAGGCGGTGGTGCCCTTGGGAAGGACTGGACTCCTTTAACACATTCTTGTATGGTGCCCCTAGCAAATCCTCTAGGGCTGTTATATTCTTACCCCCATTTTACAGATGGAGAAAGTGAGGCTCAGATAGGGACCGAGCTAGCCAATGGTGGGCAGTGGTGAACTCAGACGGTCTGGCTTTGATCCTCACTTTGACCACTACACCATACCACTTCTTGGCAGAAAATTTCTTGATTTGGTTTTTAACTTTTTTTTCCCTTTTTTTTCCCATTTTCTGTTCCATGTTGTTCTCTGACTTGCTTTTCTCATTTAACACTCCATGTCTGGGACATCAATTCATGGCAGAGGGAATTCCTGGCAGTCCAGTTAGGTTAGGACTTGGCACTTTCACTGCCGAGGGCCCGGGTTCAATCCCTGGTCAGGGAACTAAGATCCCGCAAGCTGCGAGGTGTAGCCAAAAAAATAAACAAATATTTCTTTAAAAAATTCATGGCAGACATACATAGGTCACCCCATCTGTGTTGTATCACTAGCCCCCGACACAGCACAGAACTACTGTGATCATTTGGGTCAAAATGGTCGGTCCATTTGTGATCATCTTAAATTCTCAGTACATAATTCATTTGAATGTGCCCTATAGTAAATATGTGATACAGTGAGTACTTTGGGGGAAAACTGGTAAGATCTGGGCTCATTGGGCAGGAGAAGGTCTAAGTTTCCCTGTCACCCACAGAGTCTAGGCTAAATCTTGAGATGGTGCTGGTGGAGAGAGTAAATGCACTATTATCCAGAATGTTCCCAGCTCCAAAGAGGCCACAAGGGTGAAACGTCCCTTTTGCTGATCAGCTACATGTCTAAGGACTCCAGAATGTCAAGCCTTCAAAGTACTGTGACTCATTCCCTGAACAACCATGCTTGGTAATTCACAAAGCAACCCTAGGTACACCACAGTTTATCCACATCTCCAAAGAAAGTCCTACTCAGAGTCTCCCCTGAGCAGATCAAGAGAAACAAATCCTCTCTCCACTTCAGGCCCTGGATGCTTTTTTGGGGCTGGCATAAAAGGAGTGAGGAGGGAAGGGCATGAGTTGTCACAAAGTCAAAACGAAACTGCCAACAACCCAGTTCTCTGTCTCCCAAGCGTGACTCACCCGGTGAAAACCAGAATATCGTTCCAAGTGTCAGATCTGCAGAGCTGCCTCCGAGACTTGGGTCTTATCCAGCTTAAATGAGCCAAACATGCCAGCATCTTCCTCAGGTTCCTGCGAGTGGTGCTTTGTCTTCTCCCTGCGGCTTTTGTTTTTGAAAGTTCATAAAGAGGAACCCAGGAGGTCAGGAGACAGCAGGGTGGCCATTTCCTTCCCCAGGACAACATTCAGACGGTTTCTACATGCCTCCCAGCACCTGCCTCCTGCCAGGGACCAAACCGGTACTGTTGGCACCCAGGCTGCCCCAGAGCACAGAGGACACCAGGACCCTGGCTGGAGGTTGAAACGTACTCCTTTGGAGAATCATCTGGCCTCCTCAGACTGGTAGGGCCAGGCAGCGGCAGGGGGAGTTTATCATCATTAGGGGCGAGTTAACTTTGAACAGGGGAGAAATGCTTTTAGAGTAATGTTATTAGCACTGGATTCTGGAATGCCTTTTCTATTCTTCTAAGTAGTATTCTCTGCAGCCCTGTGCACTCCACAGAGGAGGAGGAAATTGACTGGTTTGTAGATGGGGAAAAGGCTGAGCCATTTCTAGTTCCTGGTTTTATTTATATGAGGGAATTCACAAGGTAATCTCAGAACACTACAGTTTGCCTTGTGGGCCAATATGCTACTGAGTATATTTTTGGTGCATATGTTAATCCATAACGAGTCATAGAAAAACCAGGACAACGTGACCTACGTCAGTTTTCAGCCTTGACGGGTAATGGGATGGGAGGCAGTGGGGATAACAGTAGCTAATACCTATAAAGAGCTTTGTACAGGCTGGGCACTGTCCAAACACTTTGCATGAATTAACATTTAACTCAGATAATGGCCCAACAAGGGAGGTACTAATATGATCACCCTTTTACCGATAAGGAACCTGAGCTACAGAAAGGTTAAGTAACTTGCTCGAGGTCACACAGCTAGAAAAATGGCCAAGCTGGGATTTGAACCCAGGAGACCCACCTCCATGGTTTGTGCTCTTAACTCTATGGAGCGTTGTGTGATTGTATAGATATTGGCAATAAATGGACTCTCTGTGACAGACACTGTGACGACCCATCACAAATTCCCAGCCTTTTCTCCATTCCTGCATCAACCGCCATGTCCAGAAAGTCTAACTATTTGCTCCCTCAGGATCCTCTGCAGTTCTGGCCAATGAGATGGAGGCTGAGGCCAACTGGTACAACTGTAGGAAAGGTTTTGCTTTCCCTGATAAAAGGAGCAAAGGTAGCTGATGCCCTTGTGCTCTTTATTCATGCCTTGAACATGGATGTGATGCCTGGAGTCATGGCAGCCACCTTGTGATCTGACGGAGAGGCCAAGAGAAGCACAGACAGTGACCTGGAATGACCTGAGCTTTGGAACTGACTCCCACCTCCCAGACTTCTTTTTGTATGGGAAAATTAAACCCTGTTTGTTTACATCACTGGGTTAGGTTTTCTGTTACTTGTAGCCAAAGATCATACCAAATATTCTTTTCTCCCTTCCTGACTCTCTCTTATTCCCACTTGAAAGTAACTGGTTGTTAAAAGCCAGCATCTTAGAAAAAGTAGGGGGACAGGGAGAGGCCTCTTTCTGAGACTATTCAATATGGAATTCCAGCCTCCTGTGGCCTTTCCAGCTTTTTTTTTTTTTTTTTGGCCGTGCCTCACAGCATGCAGGATCTTAGTTCCCCAACCAGGGATCGAACCCGTGCCCCCTGCAGTGGAAGTGCAGAGCCCTAACAACTAGACCTCCAGGGAATTCCCTTTCCAGCTCTCGTTTACTGAGCACCTACTGTATTCCACATATCCACGTGTATCATGGGCTCCAGGTTCATTTTTCCATCAACCCTCTTACAGCCTAGGAGGGAGACCACATTTGGCTCCATTTTACAGATGGTGACACTGAGGTGCTGGGGCTTTAAGAACTTGCCCAGTGAGTGGGGAGCAGATTCACCCAGGCCAGCCTGACCTCAAGCGCAGGGTCTTCCTGTTCTCAGCTGCGGTGCTCCGACCCACGACCCACGGTACAGCCCTCAAGAACTTCTCCAACTCGTCAGATTCCAGGCTTCTGTTCCCTCCTGTCCCCTCAGGGTCAGTGCCTTGCCCTCAGTGCCTCTGCATTCTCATCTGTAAAGTGGAGATGGCGCTAGGACCCACTCACAGGGCTGCTGTGCTGATTCAGTGGAATAATCCACTTGGCACGGAGCCTGGCCCATAGGGAGATCTCAACAGATGGTGTTATTATTATCACTATTATTATTACTAAGTACCCAGAGTCCTGTCCCCAAGAGTAATCCCCCAGGGCAGCAATGAATGGAAAGGAGAAGCTGAGGGAACCCAGCGTCTGATTTCTATTGAGCCAGGCCTGATTTCACACTCCCCCAGCCTGGGCACAGGTGTGCCCTTGGGTGGCACCTTGGAAGGCTTCCTGCAAGGAGCCGCCTGAGGAAGAAAGCTCCTGCCAGACACCTTGTCTGGAAAGGACACATTCAAGGAGGGCTGTCTCCTGCCAGGGGCTCAGGGGCTCAGGGGCTCAGGGGCTCAGGGGCTCAGGGGCTGGCTGTCAGCATCACGGTCAGGTGCACAGGGCTTGGAAATCACCTTTTTGATCAATGCCAGGGTGGCTGCCAGCTACTGCAGCAGGGGGAGGGAGGGGGAAAGAGAGAGAGAAAAAGAGAGAGAGAGAGAGAGAGAGAGAGAGAGAGGGAGGGAGAGGGAGGAGGAACGGAGGGACGGAGGGAAGGAGGGAGGGAGGGAGAGAGGGAGGGAGGGAGGGAGAGAGGGGGGGAGGGAGAGGGGGGGAGGGTGGGGGGAAGAGAGAGAAAAAAAACATCTCTTTCCTGAGTCCCAGGCCACAACAAAGAGAGTCAGCCTCCAAAAGTGGAGGGGAAGGGGCTCTGTTGAATTAATTAATCCTTTAATGACACTGTATTAAGTGCCGAGCGTCGGATACACAAGCTTCATTGAACCTTCAGCACAGCCCTCTGACAGAAGTGCTATTATCATCTCTATCTTGAAGGTGAGGAAAATGAGGCACAAGAAGTTTAAGCGTCTTGCCCAAGGTCACACAGCTGAGAACTGGAGGAGCCGTGACTCTAACCTAAGTGCCCAGACCCCTGAACCAGTGTTTCTAAGCAATAAAGAGGCAACAAGACCTTTAGTCCTAATGGGGCTGGGAGAGGAGGAACCAACTATAAACCAAGCAACAAGTGACGAAATAATTCCAGGCGGTGACAGCAAGTGGTTAAATCACCCGTATCTGTCTGATGTACCCCTGTGGGGGGCCTTGGAAGGCTCCGAAGATGAGATGGAGACTGGGGTCATCCTTGAAGGAAGGGTGGGATTTTAACTGGGAACTCGCGCATGAAAACTGTGGAGCCAGAACTTAGAACGGGTAAAAATGCAGGCATACGGTTTGTGTTCCATAAATGGTCATTGTAAAGGGTATATCGGGGGTTAAACCATGGGAGGCTTCAGAGGTCTGGAGGAAGTGTTTGTAAATCTTCTTCCGGGGCTTTGCTCCAGCATCGGCCAACCTCAGTGTTTCTAGAGAGTCAGCCCCAGGCCCTGGGTCCTGATTGGTCCAGGATGATCATGCCCCCAACCAGAGACTGGGCTAGCTGTGATCATGTGACACAATCAGGCCAATGGCAGGCAAGTTTCTAGGAAAGGTTTTTCTCACCCTCAAAGAGAAACAATCCGTCCGAGATGGCTCTTGTATTAGCTATCTATTGCTCATAACAGAAGTCCCCAAACTTAGCAGCATTAAACAACAATTAAGTATTATCTCAGTTTCTGTGGGTCAAGAATCTGGGAGTGACTTCAGGGGTGATTCTGGCTCGGGGCCTCAGGAAGTTGCAGTCAAGATATCAATGGTAATTGCTATCATCTGAGGGGTTTCTATTCAATCTCTCTCCCTTCAGGTGAAGGTAAAGGGCGTCAGAGGTCAGCTCATCCAGTCCCAGCGTACAGACACCCAGTCTCTGGCTTTTTCCTGACACACGGATCCCAGCTTGAACATCCCCTCCTCCCTGCCCATGCCAGAGATTTTCATTCCTATCCCCTCTGCCTTACTGCCTGAGACTCTGCTCTTAACTTACCTTACTTTGTCCCTTCTTGGTTATTTACCTTTGTTGGTGTCTCTACCCCCAATTAGAATATATACTCCATGAAGCATCCGATTTTTGTCTGTCCTGTCCTCTGCTAGATTTCCCAGAGTTTAGCATAGTGCCTGGTATGTAGTAGGTGCTCAATTAAATATATGTTTCTGGTTTAGGTAGAATAAGAAATAAGTGGATATTTCACAGCCCTTAAAGTGATCTGGGACATCAGGGAATTCTGAAGAACCAAGAAAGAGGCTGATAATTCTCTCTCTTTTGCGCGTGCGTGCACACACACACACATACACACACATACTTTTTCCTCCAACTGGCTGCATCTATGTTGCCCTCGCTCTCACGTGCAAAGCCCCCAGGTTCAGCCCTCTCTGGTTTGCTTCCCAAATTGGCTTCTCCACTCCCACACCTCCTCCTCCATCCTGTTCCTACCAGATCTGTGAGGCCACCTGCACAACAAAAATTACATGGAATCTGGAGTCAGACAGACCTGGTCCACATTTGGAACTTTCCGCATTTGATCTGACCTTGAGTGGCTCACTTCTCGTTCTGAGCCTCAGTTTCCTCATCTGTAAAATGGGGCAAAGCAAGACCACCATAGCCTGCCATCTGCATGAACATGAGTATGCAGTTATTTCAGACATGGAAGGGCATTGAGCTTGCCTGGAATAAGACTCCCCTCTCTGCTGCCCACAGCGGCTCAAACTCTCTCCAGTCTAACCCAGCGGTTGCCCCTCCTCTCGCAGCTGCTCCCCAGAGAGTGTGAAAGCTTAAATGGCCAATATTTTCCCCAGCTCAGCACAAAGCGCAATCATTGCAGGGCAGCCAGGAAGGGCTGTTAGCTTGATTGGGTCCTTTTTTCATCTCCACGTCAGCTGTTAGGCTGTTCAGCTCACGCAGGGTGACTGCTCCTTTATTATCCAGCTCTGGAGCGGGGTGGGTGGAGTCCTTAAGTTATAGCAAGAATGTGGCGCCACTGCATACCACCCCATAAAGCAAACTCTTGGGATATCTCCTCTCTCTATTGAAAAACTAGAAATAGCACCTCATTCCCACCCAGGAATCAAGTCCAAAGCCCTCCACCCCCATCCCATGCTGAAGGTTCCCTAACCCTAACCCCAACCCTGCTTCCTCCTTTCTATTTGGGCGGGAGACTTTTTTTTTTTTCCCGGTACCCAGGCCTCTCACTGCTGTGGCCTCTCCCGTTGCGGAGCACAGGCTCCGGACGCGCAGGCTCAGCGGCCATGGCTCACGGGCCCAGCCGCTCCGCGGCATGTGGGATCTTCCCGGACCAGGGGCACGAACCCGTGTCCCCTGCATCGGCAGGCGGACTCTCAACCACTGCGCCACCAGGGAAGCCCGGGAGAATTTTTTTTCAAAGTTCTCCAGATGCACTGGGGTTAGGGGAATGATTACTTTAGAACACATTGGTAACTACTTCTGCTTCCTAATGGAGGTGGTACAAAACACTTGATTCCTATGCCATCCTATACCATTCTCTACAAATGCTTATAGAGAAATCGCTATATACGTTTTCCATAAATTCACTCAATTAATCCTCACAGCAACCCTAAGACAAGTGCATTACCCGTATTCCCATTCTACAGACCAGGTTATGGAGGCAGAGAGAGGTTAAGTAACCTGCCCAAGGTCACACAACTGTTGAACAGAGGGTTTGGGACCTGAACTTAGACCTTCTGGTGCCATTGACTTACTCACTAAAGGGAGGGAAAAGTGGACATGGCAAAGGCCAAAGCTGGTTTGTCTGTGAGGCTGGGGTATGGGGAAAGAGCGGATGGCCATTTCCTTTGTAGGACACAATGATGAGGGTTTGCAGCCTGACCTTGGCAGGGGGTTGCATAGGAATGTTTAGATAATAGAGTTTCTTGGGGAGTGAGAGAAGGAAAGCACTGGAAAACAGGAAAGTGGGGGAGTCTTGAGAAAAAAGACTGGCTGCCAGACCTCTCCCTTGCTCCCCAAACCTCAGCAAAGTCTGCTGCAACCAGAAATGATCCAGATTGAGGGATAGGGAGGGGACAATTGCATAGCCAGAGATAGACATCCAACTCTCAGATTTCTTGTTTCATGTAACTGAAAAGTCCCGGGTGGATTTCAGGCCTGGCTGGATTCAGAGGTGCAAATAATGTCATCACTTGTCTCTCCTTCCTGCTGCTACTTTCCTCTAGGCTGGTTTCCTTCTCAGGCAGGTTCAGTTACATCCCACCAGCATAGCAACATAGCATAGAAAGAGAGATCTTTTTCCCAAGTAGCTTCAGCAAAAGTCCCAGGGAAGGTTCTCATTGGCCCAGCCTGAGTCACATGGC